TATGTCTTTTTATTTATTTATAGTATCTTTGGTGTCTTTCATCAGTTTTGCATAGTTTTCAGCACACAAATCTTGGACATGTTTTGTTAGATTTCATTTAGTTATTTCATTTTGATTATTTATGAATGGTATTATATGTTAAATTTCAGTGTTTATGTATTGTTTACTACTATATAGAGATATAGTTGATTTTTGCATGTTAATGTATCCTGCAACCTTGCCAAAATCACTTATTAGTTCTAGGGGTTTGGTTTTTTGTATTTGTGTGTGTAGAGTCTTTGGGGTTTTCTATGTAGTAATCATGCCATTTGCAAATAGGGACAGTTTTATTTCATCTTTTCTAACCAGCATGTCTTTTGTTTCTCTCTGTCTCTTTTTTCATTTTCAAGGTTAGCACTTTCAGCACTTTTTTGAATCAAGAGTGGTCAAAGTGGAGATTTTTGCCTTGTCTCTAATCTTAAGGGGAAAGTCACTAAAAGGTATAATGCTAGCTGGTTATAGGGTTTTTTGTAGGTGCTATTGCCAAGTTGAGGTGGCTCCCCCCAGTCCTATTGTATTATGAGGTTATGAATTTTATTTAAACCTTCCCTTTTGATTGACTTTGGTTGACACCACTCTGGCATTGGATGGAGGGGGTTGCTACATGTTACTATGAGGTGGAGGAGAAGTCTAGCTTGTTGCCACTTGAGGGGAAGGGGCTTCTTTTTACTGCTGAGGTGAAAGTGGAGATTCTGGCTTCATACATGGTCTCCTCTGACACTGTGACAAGGGTGGTCTCATTACCACTGGGTGATTGTAGACGTTCTGTTGCCATGAGGCCTCCTTTGACACTCTCTCAGTGTGGTGGCAAGGGTGCCTGCTGGTTGGGAGAGGAAGTTCCAGTTCTTCATGTGGTGTCCAGTGACATCAATAGAGAGGAGCAGATCATGTTTCTGGCCAACAGGGATGAAAGTCCCAGATTCTTATTTGGCCTTATTTGACACCACTGTGGTGATGGCACTTAAGCTCCTCAAGCTCTTCATTACTGTCATTTGAGGGTGGAAATCTCAGCTCCCCACTTGGTCTTTGCTAGAATGAGTGGGGGTAGAGTCACAGTTTTTCCTGGGGTATTTGGCTGGAATAAAGCAATAATTGCGTAAGAGTTTTCTGTTTCACGAGGCTGACCTTTTCTTGGTCCTTTGGTTTAGAGGGAGCAGACTCTTGCTGGGGCCCTTTTGTGTATGTGGGTTGGTGTTTCCAGGTTCCAGGTTCCTCAGCTGCAAGTCTGGTGTGAAAGAGACAAAAGGAAAACCCAAGGAGCTCACCACTGCTTCTTGGGTTTTCAAGTTCGGACCACCTGCCTTCTTCTTGCCCCCTTTCAGTCTTCTTATGTTTAATTTGTATTTAATTATGTTCGGGATATTTTATTGTATCTAGTGGGAAAAATGTGGAAAAGTACCTCTACTCTATCTTCCTGGAAAAAATGTGTCTTTTGTCTCAAAATAGAGAAGACCTTTTATTTGCTACTGTGGTTAAGAGTTGTGAACAAGAGTGGGGTAGTTGTGGGGAAAGGAAGAGAGTTCCATTTTGATTTATTCATAGTGTTTTTGAGGGTTCAAGGAGAGAAAATAAAAACAGATTCTGCCATTCCTAAAAGAACGAGTTCTAAAAAATAAAATCTGGGTTCTGCTTGACTATTAGTTCATTCATGCATCAGTCAGTAAACATCTATAAATTAACACTGTGCTTGGCAGAGTGATTGGTGCTAGGATACAAAGATAAGTAAGATAATTTTTGCCTTTTAGGATTTCAAAGTCTAGTGTATTGTAGCCTAACACCCGAATAAGCAAAGAATCAAAGTATCTTATGGTGAGTGAGCTGAATCCTGAAGGATGAGTAGAAGTTCTTTAGGTAATCTGGAATAAAATGATATAAGCAGAAGAAATGGCTTGTTTGAAGACACAGAATCAGAAAAATTTGAGGCTTTAGGAGAATGGCAAGTATTGATGTGAAGACTAAGATGTTTATACCAGTGAATGGTGAGTGATTAGGCTGAAAATATACATTGGGTCAGATTGCGGAGGGCTTTAATATATTATGTCTTACTAAGGAACTTTGATACTTTCTGTGGGCAACGGGGAGACATACTTAAGCTATTTGAATGAGCACTTAAAAATAATGATTTTTCTTATGTTTATTTTTTATGTCTATATGTATCATTTAGTATTCTTTTACATATGTGGATATAAGGTTTGCCATCCTGCCTTCATGTCTCTTTTCCCTTCTGTTTCCCTCTATATGATCATCTGTGGCTAGAAATTGGGGAGAGAAACGTTCACTTAAACATCTAGAGTTACTAGATAGAGCTGTGTAAATGTAACAGATGCACGAGTGAAGCTCAGGATGAAGCTATTGTTTCAAATCTGTTCTCGCAGACAGTTGCATTTTCACTAGTTGTGAGTGGATGTGTTTAAATATAGTAGCACTCAGTTAATCCCAGTGGTCACCCCACAATCTCTTCACCCCCCACAGTCATTTCAGCCCACTTACCCAAAGCGGTTTTTCAGAGTCTAGGAGAATTGTACGCTGATGGGGCTATATTAATGAAAAATCTGAATTTTCTCTAAGAAATGGGAATGTATGAGTCTAGCTCATTATGCTAAAGTAGATAAAATATTCTTTACCATCCTGAATGGTACATTAATTTTTCATTGTTTTCTTCTAAATCTTCTACATTCACGGTCACTATCTCTCCTGCCGTCAGGTGCATCCATTCGTATCCACAAGCTCTCCCACTCTTTTGTAATAGTGTATACTTAAACCTTATGGTATCCTCAATGTATTGGTATATTTAAAAATCCCATATACCATAACACTTTATTTTTATGCTGTCTAAATCTTTTATTTAAAGACATCTGGCATGTTTGGCTCAGCGGACAAAATATGACAGTGCTGAAAAGTAGTATTAGCAATTCTTATGACTTCTTACATATTTTAAGATGTTTATGGCAGAAATTACATACTGTGGTGGATAGAGTAGCATACTAAGAAAAATTTATGACATGCAATTGTTTACTTGTCTGTGACCTTGAGAAAACCATTAGCTTTTTCTAGGATTCTTATTTTTTTAACTACAATTCTATAGTTGTGAAAGAGGCAGAAATTGCCCTAAATATCTGCATAATAGGAATCATGAGATTTTAAACACAGTTCTTTGTTTTTTTTAAAATATAGCTAACATATTTCTACTGTTAATGTTCCTGAGGTGGTTCACTGGAATTAATTTTTTTTTTGCAATGATTAAAAACATGTCCTTTATATGGCCAGTGGTAACTTTTTGGTTTGAACCTCCATGTAAATTATAAATAAAAATATAACATTGAGCTGTACTTATATTTCTTACAGAAATAGAAATCCTTTTATTTATTTACTTAATCGTGGTAAACTTGGTAGGAAAGATTATATATATATATATTTCAAGTGTATGACATTGTAATTCAGTATTCGTATGCACTAAATAGTGTTTACCACTGGAAGTCTGGTTACCGTACATCACCACACAATTGATCCCCTTTGCCCTTTTGGCCTTCCTCTCAACCCCCTTCCCTCTGGTGACCACAATCTCTTCTCTCTATCTATGAGTTTGTTTTTGCTTTGTTTGCTCATTTTTTAAAGATTCCTCATATAAGTGAAATCATATGGTATTTGTTTCTCTTTGATTTATGTCACTCAGTATAATACTTTTGAAGTCCATCCATGTTGTCACAAATGGCAAGATTTCCTTTCTTTTTATGGCTGAGTATCAGGGAAGTGCAAGTCAAAACCACAGTAAGATATCGCCTGATACCTCTTAGAATGCCTATTATCAAAAAGACAAGGTAAAACCTGTTGGAGAGGATGGAGCGAAAAGGGACCCCTCATCCACTGCTGGTGGGGATGCAGACCGGTGCTGCCACTGTGGAGAAACAGTATGGAGGTTCCTCAAAAATTCAGAGTAGAACTATCATGTGACCAGCTGTTCTACTTCTGGTTATCTGAAGAATATGAAAACACTAATTTGAAAGGATATATGCACCTTTATGTTCATTGCAGCATTATTTACCATAGCCAAGATATGGAAACAACTTAAGTGCCCACTGATAGATAAATGGATAAAGGTGTGAGAGTACATACATACATGTATACATTTTTGTGTATATGTATGTATACATATACATTGGGGTAAAGTAGGTTTATAGTTGTTTGTATGGAAAATAATAATATAATAATTAATAAATAGTAATATAAGAATAAACTGTTTCATGTACTCACAACTGTAAACCTACTTTGCCCCACCGTGTGTGTGTGTGTGTGTGTTGCACAATGTAACAGTGCTCAGGCATAGATATTCTTTGGATATTAAACTTTTATTTTATTTTTTAAGTGTTAAATAATCTTTATTTGATATTATACACAAACCACACTAAAATGCCTTTCATTAAGTTAAAGGCAACAGTTTAGATACAGAATGTTTTTTTTTAATTGGCATAGTTAGCAACAAAAGACAAAATGGACACTGCCCACGTACCTTCAGCCCTTGCCTTTTAACAGGCTAATGAACACAATTTGAAACGCAAGCAAGTCTTGCTTTTCTAATAAACAGTGAAGGGATTTTCTCAGTATTTAAAATGTTTATATTAGCAATTACATAAATCTAAATAAAAAACCAATCTCCTACAGGTTTTGAGATAGCATTCACCATCTCTGTGGAAAGGTGAATATTACCAGCCAAGTCCAATCATATTTTTAGAAGGGGAAAATAGTGATAGCAGTCTCTGAACTGAAATTACCATCAAAGTTCAAAAAGCTGATCGTATTCAACTTATTTAACCACACGCCAATATTATCTAAATCAGAACTGCCCTAAAGAAATGCTCTATCAGCCATTCATGATCTGAATTCTGATGTACGAGATCAATTTTAATATGGTAGACATAAAAAAGTCATGAGACATTTGTAATAAATAAGGCGGTGGGCAACAATTACTCACTAGTAGCTTTTTTCAGATAAGCGATCAAATCTGCCCTTTCTGAACTCTTCTTAATGCCAGCAGAGATTGTTTTTGTTCCAGGGATGTACTTCTTGGGATTCCCCAAATACTCCTTCAGTGTAGCCTCTCCCCAGGTGATCCCTTTGTTCTTGTTGATATCCGTGTAAGAAAATCCAGGTGCCTGACCTGTCTTTCTCCCAAACACGCCATGGAGATTTGACCCAGTCTTGTGCTTGCCTCCCTTTTCCACAGTATGGCATTGGGCACACTTCCAAACAGAAATCTTCTTGCCCTTCTCAACATCATGCATTTTAAAATCACTCTTTGGTGGCGCAAAACACAGAAGTTCTGATTTGCAAGCCAATGTCCTGCTCTCTAATTCCAAGGACATGCTGGTCTGCACCTAAGTAAATCGAAACTATTTCAGATATTAAAATTAAATTAGTACTAAATTAAATTTGAAAAATGGTTATAAATTTTTAATTATGTTTTGCTGCTTATAGTTTTCATGTTGAAAAAATATTTTCAATTACAGTTTATATTCACTATTATTTTGTATTAGTTTCAGGTGTACAGCATAGTGATTAGACAATCACATACTTTACAAAATGTTCCGCCTGGTATTTCTAGTACTCAACTGACATCCTACATAGTTATTAGAATATTGTTAACTATATTTAATATGCTGAGCTTTATATTTTCATGACTGTTCTTTAACTATCAATCTGTACTTCTCAGTCCCTTCACCTTTTCACCCAGTCACCCAGCTCCCTCCCTTCTGCCAACCCTCAGTCTGTTCTCTGTATCTACGAGTCTGTTTGTTTTGTTTGTTCATCTATATTGTTCTTTAGATCCCACATATAAGATAAATCATATGGTGTTTGTCTTTTTCTGACTGACATTTCACCTAGCATAATAACCTCTTAGGTGCATTTGTACGGTTGTGAATGGTAAGATTTCATTCTTTTTTAAAGGCTGAGTAATATTCCATTGCATATATGTACCACTGCTTTTTTGTCCACTTGTCTATTGATGGACATCTGGTTTGCTTCCATAGCCTAGCTATTATAAGTAATGCTGCAATGAACATAGGGGTGTGTATATTCTTTTGAATTGGTGTTTTGGGTTTCTTTAGATATATACCCAGAAGTGGAAATCTCTGGGTCATAAGGCAGTTCCATGTTTAGTTTTATGAGGAACCGCCATCCTGTTTTCCATAGTGGCTGCACCAGTCTGCATTCCCACCAGCAGTTGCTGCTTATAGTGTTAAGTTAGATATACTAATCTACTGAATACTGTCTTCGTAATGAAACTATTATAAATAATAGTATTGTGTTACACGAGTATAATATCTAGTTCATAGTTTGGTTACTTCAGCTTGGGCATACTGTCCTCTGCTGGTTGGAAAATGTTATCCTAGTTCAAATGAACAGAACCTTCCTACCTCTACTAGTGATTTATTTTGCTTAAACTTTGAAAGTCTTTGTGTTTTTACATTTGCTGATGATAGGGTTGGGAAATGTTCACTTACAAGTTGAATTCCCTCAGATAGGAGTGATTCTGGGGAGGTCTTTGATTTATGGAATAATTAACTTCATTGTAATTTTTTCCCACTCATCTGGGAAATTGGTGAAAAAAGAGAAAACTAACTTACTATGATATGTCTATATATACCTTAAAATTTTTAATCCTTACTTGAGGATGTATTTTTTAAAATTGCTTTTAGAGAGAGGGGAGAGAGAGAGAGAGAGAGAGAAAACTAGGGATTGAACCCAAGATCTCTATATGTGCCCTGGCCATGAATCAAACTGGTGTATAGGACACTTTAACCAACTGAGCTACACCAATCAGGGCTATTTATGTACCTTTTATTGAAGCAGAAGACCAGCAGTCAGCCCAACTGGGGAACTAGATAGGCCATGGTCGTTGGAAGTTTTGTGTATGGTGACTGTCATTGTGATTTTTTGCATTTCTTTTTCAGACTGAAGTTATTTAAAAATTGTGCATGTTTAGTAGACGTGCATGAGAAGAATAATGCTGGATTTTGATCTGATTCACAACACACATGCCAGCTATAGTTTGCTTTCCTGAAAATGTTCTACTATCTTTACTCCTCCAAATCTGTTGCCTTTCTAAGCGTGATTCCAAAGGCAAATATCCTGAAGAGAAAAGTGATAGATATTACTACAAAAATTTTAAAGCTTCTGTCTGTCACATCTACTCCAAACAAGATTGAAAGGCAACTGACAGCTCGGGACAGTGGGGGGCAATACATATGGTAAACAAGGAGGGAAATCCTTCTCATAAAGAGCAGCTAAAATGTAAAAGAGCACAGAGTGCATGCCCGGTCAGCATTTCAGGTGGAGAGCTAGGTGCCCTTGTTGTCTGCTTATTAGATGCAAAAGTAAGGTTTGGAGAGGTCTTATTGTTGCTAATGGATTAAGGCTTTAAATCCAGGTCATCGAACTCCACAGTTTATGTCCTAACCACTATGCTACACTGCCCTCTATTCTGATGGACAGAGACATGAACATCCAATAGCCAATAAGTGTATAAGATTTCCTCTATCTAGAAGTCAAATAAATGCAAACGTAGAAGTGCAGATGCAAATAGAACACATTTTGTCTACCAAACTGACAGAGATTTTAAAAAAAATGGTCATGTTTATTACTAACAAGATATAGAAAAATCAGACAATTGATAAATCCTTTTATTGGGGAAATAATCTTAAAAAACTCTTAAAGTTCTTTATGGTTTTAACATTGCAATTCAATTTTTAGTTCTTTATTCTGAGAAAGATAATTGTGTGTATATGAGTTTTAGTTACAAGTATATTAACTAGTATTTGTTCCTAATAGCCAAGCACTGGAATCGGCCAGAGTGGGAGACTGGTTAAAAAAATTAGTATGAATCTATAAAACGGAATACCAGTAGTTGTTTAAAATGACATTTTAAAGGACTTTTTAAATGACATTTTAATATGTATACTATGTATTAAGAGAATGAATCATGTCATTAAATCACTAGGATTTTATTTAGAACATGTAAGCTTTTGCTTTGATAAAAAACTGGAAAAGTTTAATACCAAAGTATTTAACAATGGTTATCATGATATTTTGAGTTAGTGGAACTGTAAGTCAGTATTTTGAATTTTCCAAATTGAACTTGCCCCTACTGGGGACCAAACCCACAACCCAGGCATGTGCCCTGGCTGGGAATCAAACCTTCAACATTTTGGTTTATGGGATGACACTCTAGCCAACTGAGCTATGGTGGCCAGGGTGTTGCTCTTTAATTTATAATGAACAGTACATGTGGATCATTATTTTGGTCTTAAAATAGATAATTATCAGTAATGTTATTACCAAGTAAATTTGAGTGATGTTATTTTTTTCATAATTTCCATGTAAAGTTTTCTTTGTATTTTTCTTTTCTTTAGCTTCTCCACTCATATTTGCCTTTATATTTCTTATTTTCTGAGGCATTTTTACTTTAAAAGATTGTCTTTCTTAACCGCCTGTTGGTTGCTAGAGGTGAGGGAGGTGGGGGATGGGTGCAAAGGTGAAAAAGTACAAATTAATAGTTAGAAGATAGTCACAGAGAGGTAAAGTACAGCATGGAGAATATAGTCAACAATATTTTAATAACTATACATGGTGCCAGGTGGGTACTGGAAATACTAAGGGGATCACCTTGTAAAGTATATGATTGTCTAACCATTATGTGGTTAGATTAAACTATTACACCTGAAACTATTACAAAATAATGTTGGATGTAAACTGTAATTGAAAAATAGAGTTTAAAAAGATTGCCTCTCTTGTTTTTCTGTTTACTCTTTTGTAACACAATCATCCAGTATTCATCCTTCACATTCTTCTTTTTCCCCCACACTGTTAAAATTTTGCAGAATTGGCATGGAATATGTTATGAGAAATGGAAGATGCCTACTTGCTTATTTTGTCTTATTTAACAGAAGTAAGATTATATAACCTAGTTCTCTGTAATTGGTCATTTAATTTTAGCATTTGATTATAAACTTCCATCAGTATTTTTATTTTCTATTAATGTGGGACTTAGTTAGGATTTGGTCCTGAATGCCTGTACTTTTATTTTTTCCTGAGCAAATGATTTTTCTCTTCTCTGTTTTCAGTAAGTCAGTTTATATTTGGAAACATGGCACAGTACTGTATATCTCAAACAGAAAGAAAATAAAAAAGATCTCTGGCACTCAGTCACCATTTTCTCCTGACCAGTTTCAACAGGTATCTAACATATGTTGAGTTTTTCATCTTGCTCATATGTATCAGGCAGAGTAAAACAGTCAGGGATTAGAGACCTTAAATGATGTCTTTAAACCCAGAAGATATATTTCTAGGTTGCTGTGACAGATTTGGTAGCTTCATTTGCTGCAGTTCTATCATTTGAACGCTGAGTGGCACTAAAGCCTAGGTCACAGATAAAATACTGCTGATTCAAATTGTAAGATTCGGGGGTCTGGAAAAGTGCAAAAAGGACCAGTAGAAGGCCCTTTGAGCTAAAAAGGAAATGTTAGTGTGATAATCAGTTATTTTTGGGAACTGGAAATTTAATCAAACTATTGTTGATATTTGCAAATTATTTGAAAACAAGAGGTACAGCGCTGTTAAAATGACTAAAGATGATTAATCTCTTGGCAACCTATTCTTGAATATTTTTCCTTTTCCTTTGCAGGGCAGTGGGTGGCTGTACTTAGAGGAGGGCTGCAGACAGAGTGCGCCCATATTTATGTTGCGAAACTCCTGTGCATTAATAGTTGGCAATGCCCATAGGAAACATTACTTCTGAACTCGGGCATCTTTAGAGACTAGTTATACCTGTAAATGTATGGTCATACATTTGACCGAATTTGGGAAGTATTAGTGTTATTGCAGTTTGAAAAATTAGTATTTGCTTATTTTGGCATAGGAAAACTATACTTATATTTTGTTGCTTCTCTAAATTGTAAATTCTTTATTTTTTTCTGCTAATATTCCACTGGTATACATATTCCTCCCAGAGAAAATGCATATTCTTAATATCTTGCAAATTTTTTCTAGCATCTATTGGAGTTTTAGATACATTTGTTTTTATTAGTTTAAACTTATTTTTCTCTTAAATTATTTATTCTAGGATTGCAAAACACATCTTAAACAGACTATTTAGAACTAATATTACATGACTTCACCTAAAACATAAGAATTTTGCAACTGTAACGATCAGCATTATTGCTACAGCAATGATTTAACTTTTTTAGAAATTAAGAGTAAAAAGTAATATTTGTACCTATTCATA